ATAACAGGCCAAGCATCAGTTCCATGGCAGACCGAATATAACATATTCCACACAGCTTTGTTATTAGCGACAAACTGGTCCTCTCGATGCAAGCTCCGGCGAATTGCCTCATCTTCCACAGATGGCACAAGGAAACCAGGATCAGCTGTTGGATTGTCGTCCGGATTTTGATGCTCACGGATTACATATGTTAACAAGGTGCCACCTTTTCCGCGATTGCGCTTCAACCACTGTTCCAAGCTCTCCATCAGTTCGACCGTATTTTTATTATCAAATTTGGGAGGCATAACCTCTGAAATATCTTCAAATTCGTTCGACTTGTTCTTCAAGTGGGAATAATAGCGATTGATTTTTGCCAAATTCGCTTGCGTCCCAAAAGCTGGATCATGTTGGCGATCCACCATATAAATAAATCGGCAATAGTCGCAAAGGTCGTAGAGCATGATTTTCTGGGCTTGGTTGATTGAAAATGTAGTGTCAGGATCATTTGCTGGATCAATCACAGTGCGATTGATCTGTTTCACCAAGGAATCAATATTTTCGCGCGTCGAGCGGGCAAAGAAAGCAGGGGAACTGAAGCCCTGTTCAATAACAATCTCTTATGCCTCATCCTGAGAGAAATCGAGAACATCTCGAATGCCATCGTTCAATGTCTCTCGTGTTGTTGTGAAAATAACACGGCACAAATTTCAAGATTTTCGTTTCGCCAGTTGTTTTCAGTTTCTGATCGGAGTCGTATAATGCAATTTCGCACGACTACGTCAGTGTGAGATCTTAACTAAAAGAATCGCACGACAAATAATTATATACGGAGTATCGAGCGAGATATCCTGGGTACGTCTACCCGTGTGGCAATTTACTCGCAACCAAACGGTTTAAACGGTAACAAGTGGCCGTCTTCAGTCAACGCTCGAGACTGAAATGTAGCGACGTGAAAACCACGGATCCTTTGACAATGGGCGATCCAACCTTTGCCGGTCGTCCACAAACTTTGGAGACCAGATATTATTTCAAAAAGCCTTCTCAAGCTTCAACTCACAACAAAGAGCTATCTGGGTCTGATAAACCGTTAAAATGCGCTGCTAGTCAGCCAAAACAGATCAATTACTGGACGAAATATAGACAAGGAAAACTTGTGACTACCAGATTCTTTCAGACTACAAAACTACACGTACGGAGGACAGACCACGTACTTCCCAAAATAATGTGAACATAGTAGAAGGAAACTTGGGAAAGACGTATACGGGGTCACATCGTGAGAATCTTCAAGGAGTGGCTGCACATCTGCAATGCACAACAAAGTGGTGCTTAACAAGTGCACCATCAAAGGCCCATCTGGCGAGGACAACAAAGGGGCGATGTGGGACAAAGATTTGGCGCGAAACCTTGTCAAAGTCGAAGACCAGCAAGAATACGATCGCAAAGGTGGAAATCCATCATTCACCAAGGTCAAGAAGATGATAGAAACGTTTGAAATTGATCAATGGAAGAACGCCAACCCAAGCAAGGAAACTGATGCAAAGGTTGGGAAATCAATCAGACTGCTTTCTACTGGTGATCGCAAGCTTGTCGCGAAAGCGGAATATCTTCAATAGTTGTCTACCATAGTATTATTCAACTTTTATCATAGTAAAATGTCGATTGCAACCATGAAATAGCCCCAGAGGTCCACTTTCTATACTTTTGGTATCATGTGTATGGGGGACATATGTCCCCTTAGCGTATTATGGGGAACCCCGTTTTAAATCATACTTTAGCCACAGTTTTGGGTGCTGGAGTCCTCTCGCTCGATTACGTGCGAACGACAGACGGTAAATGACGAACTACAGACGATGGCTATTGAGTGGGTCATCGCGGCGGTCATTATTCATTCATTCGTTCTTCTCCGCACGCACACACATACGATACACGGACGAGATGGTCGATGCGTGCCACCTCAGACGTCGCTGAAGAACTGGAGAAGATCCGCAGAATTCCAAATTCCGTTCCTGGTTTCTCCGTTTAGGCATCCCGCTGCACCTCGCCCACCTTTTTTGGGATTTAATAACCACCTCATTTTGGGATCCTTACTTAACAACCTGCCTCATTTTGGGATCCTTACTTAACAATCTCCTCCATCTTTGGAGGATACTCTGTAATCAGAACAGATTACGATGGTGTCAAAGACACTTTGACCGGAATCACTCCCTTCCAATCAAAGATATGGACTTCTATGTTTGGTGCAGAAGAAATGGGCACAAAGGAAGTAATGGAGGAGTCAATAGGGGTGCTCCTGTCAATGAAGAGATCGGAATGGTCGGACTGCCTGGCGTACATCAAAGGAAAAGTGCCGCTTGTGTGGTATAGATTTATCATCCAGATTTTCCAGGAATGGGGTCCCAATTTACTACCACGGCTTCTTGCTGACTTTATTGTACCTGGGAAATGAAAAGGACGACCGCCTGCCCCGCTGTAGACTGTCATTACTGTACAGTACTGTCGGCTTTATGGGTATAATTGCCACGCAATCTACAGTAGCCATTCAGCCTACCTGGTACTGTAAGAATATATAAGTTGTACCGTACTTTGAAAGTTCGATCGGTGCATTGTATAGAAGTAATTTAATATAACCTAAACTTGGTACCGGTGAAATAGACTACTTGAAACTACTGCATTACATGATCTCGTCCAGGTGACAAACAATTTACAGTCAAAGTCTACTCAGGCCACTACAGTATGATCCTTGTTGCTCGTCTTCGCCTTAAATCTTAATCGTCTTGCTTTCTCAATCCACTCGCATCATGACCAGCTGTGGATGGCCGAAACTTTCTATTGGCAGACGAGGCAAAGGCTGGAGGAACTGCAGGAGCAGCCTCACCCGATCCAGCGGCGCCTCCTCCCTTTTCCCACATGGCCATGCGCGCACGGACACTCGAAACCCGAGAACTGGCTTTGTCTGACTTTGGAGGAGGACTCAATTCCTTGCTTTCTTTTGGAGAATGCTGTTTTGGCAACGAAACCGGCTCGAGCCGTTGGGGCGAGAAAGGTTTTGGTGAATGCGGTTTTGGCAAGGCAGCCTTCTCAGGCTGCTGAGGCGACGGGGAGACTGATGTTTGTGCCTTTGGCGCCTTTGGTGCCTCTGCTGCTGCCGCTGCAGCCGAAAATTTCAATGGTGATCGTGGGGGAGAGTTGGGTTTTACCCTAATTGGAGATTGCGGTTGAATTTGAACTTTTGCTTTCAACGGAGTGGGCGCAGCAGTCTTTTGCGCTTCAGCAATAGCAGCCTTGCTCTCTAAGAAGGCTTTGGTATCTTCTTCGTCCACTTCATCTTTCGGGATCATTTCTATTATTCTTGCAGCTTCTTCAGCCAAATTGGAGGTATCTCGTTGTTCCATTGGTACAGAGTGTAAATCGACTTGTTCTCCTGCGCAAGGGAGAATTAGCTTCCAATAACCAGTCGTCTTTGGACTATCCTCGTCAAATTGCCAAAGTTTGATTTGCATTCCATCTAATTGTTGCTTCATTTCAGTCTTCTCTTGACGAAGCCTCTTTTCACCCTCTTGACGTTCAATGACTAGCCTTCGGTTTCGACCTTGCAAATCAATTAGATGTTCCTCCAGGTAAGTCAGCTGTTGCTCTCGGCTTTCCACTTTTTCCGTCATTGTCTTGTTGACCAGATGAAGTTCATTCATTTTGTATATTATCGCTTGCAAGTCATTGGACTTTCTCTCAAGCTCTGAGCGAAGACCATTCATCTCTTGGGCCGACTTCAATTTCCCCAACGCACCTTGTCTTCCTGATAATGCTTCCACCAAGGCTTTCTCGGCAGTCACAGCTTCCTGAAGACTGATATATTTGTTTGATAATTCAATTAATTGCTCCTCCAATTCTGACTCCTTCTGTATCGCTAGTTTCCCGGCTGGGCTTTCAACAAGCTTTTGACGGTATGCGGACAGCATTCCCGACTCCAGTCGTTTCACACCAGTCAGATTCTTTGCGGATAGATCTTGTTCACCAAAGGTCTTTTTGATGACTTCCAATTCTTTTTTCTCTGCTTTCTCCGCTTCTTCTTTGCTTCTCATCATGGAGTGTTCCGATGGTACGTAGTTGGCAGTATTGCTGTCGTCTCCAACTTCTGATTTCTCAAGTAGCCCACTCTGCACCATCAGCTGGTCGACATCAAGGATATCGCCGAGGTCTGCAACTCCAGGTATCTTTCTACTTGCATCATCGAGAGTTTGCCTGACGTCGCCGTTCCCTTGTGCAGCCTTGTTTTTCATCAAACGCACGTAAAAGCTCCGAAATTGGCGGAGGAAACCAACAGCTTCTCGTTCTCGGAATTCACTCGTTCGCAACGCACTTTCCAATTCTTCGTTTTGATTTGAAAGGGATGCTACCTCTCGCTTCGTATCATTGAGTTCTGCTTCTATTCGTTCTCGTTCCTTTTTTAGTATTTCGTTCTCACTTCGTAATGAAACGACATCTGATTGGTAATCCCGCATTTTCATTTCAGCCTTTTCTCGAGTCGCCTTGTTGGTTTGCAACTCAATCTGCAATCTTTTCTTTTCCGCTGGTGATAGTGTTTGGCCATCTCCAGTATCAAATACTATGAGGTCGGATATGCTCTCGTTTTGGCTACTCGATGCAATTTTGGTAACTGCTTGCCATACGTCATCTGGTTGTTTGGCCTCCCCACTATCCTTGAGAGACTTGCATTCTTTTGCCAAGACCCTTGTTAATTTGGATAGGTTAACAGCTTCCCTCTCAGCTGCTTCGAGACGCACTTGATACAAATTGAAGGACAAAGCTTCTCTCGGCTTTGGAAAGTTCTTTAGACTGCGGAGCTTTTGACCATATTTTATTGTGCTCACCGTTTCGCCAATACTATAACTCGACGGAGATGCGGTACAAATACATGCCATGTAGCAGTTGCCTCCAACACTGGATCTCAGTAATTTTGTCAGTTTGGACACATAGGAGAACGCATTTGGTGGCACTCGCTCTTGTTTTCCTTGTTTCGCCAACTCAGCACGCACTGTATTATAAAGACTCTGAAATGACCCATTTACCATTCTACTCTCCATCGAGACAGCATTTTCGACCTGACGGGATGACTTTGTTCTTCCTTGCTCACTTCCTGCAAGGTCCAACATGAGTAATCGGCTGCCACGATGAGTCCCAGTCGATCTATTTATCTGTTCCACCTTGATTTGAAGAACAGCATGCGATCTTCCAAAGTCTTCATTCTGTTTTGTCGCCGACAATTTTCGGTACGCATCGCCTCGGGCCACCAACGCGTATATATCCTTTGGTTCCAAACAGCAAATTTCAGCTGCATCAGTTAGACTGAATTCACCGTCTTCTCCCTCCGCCAAATGAACATCCTTGCTCGAAGGTTTCAGGAGGTCATATATTTTTTCAATATAAATTTCCACATATGAGCAGCGGACCACACATTGCACCGATTTGGGTTGATTTCGAATCTCCTCAAACAAGGCAGCTACCGTTCGGGGAATCATCCCTTCCGACTGTGCACAATCCAAAGCCCCCTGATCCGCCATTGGCGACACAGCACTTTCTCCTTCACCAGTGGCTGCTGAGCGTATCGCCATTTCAATGCCTTGGCCCTGACCCATCATTGTATGTGTCTTTCCGGTCCCACTTTGTCCATGAGCCAAAACAGTGCAATCCACACCGTTCATAATCCTACATGGTACATCTGACAAGCATTCGTTATAGACGTCTTCCTGTGAAGCGTATTCATCAAAGACCTGTATTTATTTATGGACGATTCGAAAGCATGAGATGATTACAGACAAACGAATAACCTAGATTTGCTCGTATAGTTACGAAATGACCTACCATGTCAAAAGTAAAGTCATAAACACCTTGAAGGGGCGAGTCTACTGTCACAATTTGGGGATTTGTGTGCAATTCAATACAATCTTTGGACCTCTTGGAGGTTTCAAGCTTATCCATGGGTCGAAACCGAAGATAAACCTTCACCTCTTCCCCATGGTCGCTCATCGTCGAGTTACCGGTAGTGTGGTTGTATTCATTCGGAAAGTAGGGCCTTCAATTTCGATTTCCGTTCTATTCGACTACTGTGACTGCCTCGTGAGATGAGAACTACCACGTCATGTGAACTTTTCAACAGAACAACACACCCACCGAAAAAATCATCATCCTCCATTCTTCATCCATCCACCCACCCATCATTCATACATTGGTGGGTAGATTGGAAGTATCTTCGAACATGACGAGAAAGACAGAGCGATTCTTCCTACACTTCCTCTACTCTGCCGCTCTGGTTGTCTCGGTATCATCCTTTGTTCATCCACCACAATTTCAACTCACAGTTAGTCTCCAGTCTGGTAGACTGTCATTCTCTTCACCAGCATCATCATTAAGCTTGCAAAAAGGGTGGTTTGCGCCAGATGACGATGAAGACGAACCGGTTACAAGGGAACAATTCCAAAGAGATTTGTTGGAAGACCCGATTGTCAGGAGAAAGAAGAAGAACGGCAGATACAAGCCCTTGGACAATCGGGATCACCTTCCTTTTGCGGTGAAGAAGGTTACACCAGATCCCTATACGCACCCCGAGATTAAGAAAGATAAGCGCAAGACTACAAAAGCGAAAAAGAGCGATCTAGACCACCATATGACAAGTTCCAGATTGTTCACAGAGAATGACAGTGGCGATACTACACTATTAGGTGAATTTAAGTTGGACAAGAGCACAACTAGTGGAGATAAAATCATGATTGGAGAAAGAGAGTACCAAGTCCAAACTGCTAGGTGCCAATATCGTTACGCTGGAGGCAAGCGCTTTGTAATGGTTCGAAAGATCCTAGAAGTGAAGGAAGTGGCAAGAGTGGAGAAAGAAGAATTCTTGAAGCAGCAATTCGAAATGAGCCCTCTCCCAGAGAATGGGGAGGGTTTTTTAGAACTTGAATAAGCCGGTATGATCAATGCCGCAAAGTATAACGACAGGAAAATCATTAATACAAAGTAGCATAGATGCTGGCGTCAGCCGACTGGCAAGTACCAGGTACCATGCTGGTATTGCACCACCCCAAACCCCTTCCAATCGCGCTCGGCTTTCCTTTTTTTCCGAGGAATCCGTCCACTCGCGCGGCAATCATTTGAATCAACAGCCTCCCGGCGGGCCCTCACGGGGGACCATAGTTAGAAAATCTTTGTGGAGATTAAAAGATGTCATTATTTGTCATGTTGAAGGGGCGATGGATGCCACAGTTTTGCCTGAGGTTTAAATTTACTGAATTGCTTTCAAATGCTATACATTTGAAGTTGTTGACTCATGAATATGCATAGCATCGTCAAAGATTTCTTCCTCAGAAGCCCTGAGTGCCTAAGTATGTGACAAATATGCTCGAATCGTGTCGATCTTGGTTGAAACCCAGTTGTCATCTTCGCTGCCTTGATCAGGATATTGTGCTTGAAGAATGTTGCCTTGTATATTTATCCGTCCATCTCCACCCAACAATATTTGGAAGCCTTTTGCTCATGATCATTATCTGGTCAATGAACTCAGCTTGTGAAGCACAATCCAAATGGAACGTATGGAGCTTGTGTCTTCGTCGTCTAACCTCAGTGGATCTAGCCTTGAAGGCAACAAAGCTTTCTTCGCTGCAAATGATCTTTTGACCATACCTAAACGGTGGCTTTACTTTCCTAAAACCGAACACGAACTTTTTTGGACCCGTGAAGCTGCCTTCAGCAAGATTATTGGAAACAGAAGAGCCGCAGAACGCCTTCTTTTGAAGTATGACCGGCAAGGCGCAGATGGGTTCCCATTCATCCGATCGAACCCAGGACACTGTAATTTCCAATCAAGAATGGGTGTGACCGTTTCCAGAAAGATGCTCCCAATTCGCTAAGCTAGAGCCCGTCCCACCCACCCGGGATTTGGATGTTTCTGAAAGGCAATGAATGAAGATGGTGTGTAGAATGGGGACTGCAAGGAAGTCCAAGTTGAAAGTGGTAGCACACAAGAAAACAGAAACAAGATTTTATCGAATGAATCAATTTTGTTTTGAAACGTCAGTACACGTGTACGTGATCAGTACCAAAGCCAATTCAAACGTGAAAGCACCAACAATGCTTGAAACACATTTATCAACGAGCCTACTGTACAAGTAATCCCATATCGCTTTTCCTTGTTCCTCTCAAACTCATCAATACTCAAAAGATGTCAGCAGAAGAGGTTGCAAAAGCCTTCACCAGCCACTTTTATCAAGCTTTTGATTCTAATGTTGATTCCTTGGCGGGGCTATTTGTAAGTCGCACGGCGAGTTTGAAATTTCATTTTTTTGTCACTTTCTCTCATTGCAGTTCAATCTTTTTTTGCAGCAAGCTCAGTCAATGATGACATTTGAGGGTCAACAATTCATGGGCCCACAAGCTATTATTGGAAAGCTTAAGCAAGTTGGACAAGTACAACATCAAGTAAAGTCTATGGATGTCCAACCGTCCACGAGCGCTTCGGCTCTTATCATTTTCGTGACAGGAACCATCAAAATCGGAGGCGACAATCCTCTGCATTTCAGTGAATTCTTCCAACTTGTCTCTACTGGACAAAACCAATACTACGTACACAATAGTGTCATGAGACTCAACTATGGATTGTAATGAAAATCCGGAAAGCCCGCAGGGACAGCAGCTCCCGGAGATCCGTTCTACTGCGACGAACGGTGTCTTTTGATTAGTGATGGCTACATTCCCAGAGTAATTAGTAAATGAATTAGGGAGGCACTATAGGAAAGAAATATGTGACTGTAACTCTATGACTAATTCTTGTTCCCGTTGAATAATCCTTGTTGGTTGAATTGGTAGAGTCTCCAGCACACCGGTACCTACTGTAGGTAGGAACATATGGGGAAAGGATGATTCTTCACCAGGGCCAAAAGTACCACAATTGAACCAAAAGCCGATTGAAGCAAAAAACGTTGGAAAGTGAAACCAGCCCTTGGCTTTGCAAACGCTTGGAGCTGATGCGATCGATCGGCAATACAAAAATAACTGCCTTTCCCACGAAACATGAGACAATTCCTCGTAAGATTAGGCTGGTCAGTTAAAGCATTCGATACCTTCAGAAATGGCTAAACTAATCTTTTGGTGAACTGGGCTCATGCCACTACTTCGTTTGCCAAGTCTAATAATAGTATTGCATGCATTAGAATTTTAAATAGGAAACAAGTTTGTGATTTTTATAAGAAGAAGCTATCACGACACCCCATTTACATAGTCGGACATCTTATTCTTTGCTCTTTGATTTCTTACTCGGGCGATACTCTGCAATGACGACAGCGTGATCTCTCTCGTATGGCTCCAATGTCAATTGTTCCAGGGGCTTGAAATTCTCGCTTTGCAGTTTGCTGACCTCTCTTCGGAAGACTGCTTCTGGTGCAGCTGTGGAGTCGATACAACTTGCCTTGATGGCAATAACGGCATGACCCCCATTCTTCAAGAAGTAATGTGCGTTGTGTGCAACAATACGTGCCTGATCTGGTTGTGCGACGTCAGCAAAGATGCAATCCACCATACCAATGAGCATTCTGTACTTCAGAGGATGTCTCGCATCTTCTATAATGGGAATAATGTTCGTTCGCAACTTGGCAACACCAAGCAGGTCACGACCGGGACGGTGAGAGAACTCGACAGCGTAGACAGCACCTTCCTTTCCTACAATATCTGATACGTGGGAAACAGATGTTCCTGCAGCTGCTCCAATATAAAGTACCTTGGATCCAGGCTTGATCCAGATATTGTCGACACCACCAAGAACAGCGGCGGCAACTAAATGTTGAGAAAGAAAGAAATGATGGATTGAGAACATTGGGATCGTGATTTTCAACCAAGTGTACAAGACGAAGCTTACTCTTAGAACGAAAAGGATTCCATACGCGGTATTCGACCTTCTCGGCTACTCCTCCGGGAGTCGACGCAGGTTTTTCGACTGTGATTCTCTTTTCTCCGTAAACGGCAACACCAGGAGTCGAGTTGAGAGTGACGAGGGCATCTTCCTTCCCTCTCGCAACGAAAATTCCTTCATGGCGATGTGGTTCGACAACGACCTTGGCTCCTCCCTTCATTCCGCCACGACCACCGCCACGACCTCCATCTCTAATTTACAAAAGAAACACAAGCCCCACGTCAATCAACTAGTTTTGCAACATAATGACGATGTCTTCTCTCCTTTCTTTACTCACCTTCCTCCACGGCCTCCACCACGACCACGGCCTCCAAATCCACCTCGACCTCCTCCTCTACCACGGCCTCCGAATCCGCCGCCGCCACCACCTCTGTTTCAAAAAAGGAAAAATTCACGGTGTTGGATACCCATAGTAAATATCGGAATTGGTGCTTCCATCAAGAAGACCTACCTTCCAAACCCTCCTCTGCCGCCACCACGACCGCCGCCTCTGCCGCCTCTACCACCAAAGCCTCTTCCTCGTCCAGACATGTTTGTGATCGTTTGTAATAGTGAAAGTATAGATCGCTAGTTTATCAATGTCCAATGGAAATTCCTATCTCCTCTTGTCAACGAATGAGTTGGATATGATGGTTGGCCCTCTCGATTGCCAACTGACACCGCACAGACTGACTAGGACTCAAAAATCCATTCCCTAACTTTGTGTCCCTCTTTTTTACCTTCGTTTCCCCATGATTTGCAACAATTGTACCTAATTGAAGCAGCCACAAGACACAGTACAGTACAGTACAAGTATGTAGCAAATGAATGGTGGCAATCATATTTGATGGCATCTTCTGTGGTCGGAAAACACTACTTCTGTGGCCACTTAATCCTCCTTAGTACTCAGCCAGCATCTGAAAACCTTTTGTCGGTTGTCGAAATAAAATGGTGAACGCCGACAGGAACAATGTGGTAGATGTGACAATGCGGCAATACTGACCTGTTCTGTCTGAAGCTAGATATTGTATACAGATATTGTCGACACAGTAGTATATTACTATCTGCAGTCAAGAGTATAGCTACTCTTTCTGTAGTATGCCCGGTGGTTGCCACTTTTAAAATATTTACGCGCGTGTGACTACTTTGACTATACACGATGTTTGCAAGCCATTTATTCTTTTTCATTCTTTCAATCGAACAAAAAAGCAAGATGTCAGGTGACAAGAGGACTGGAGGTATTGCTTGGGCTGGAAGTTTAGTGGGATCGGAAAATCCCAAAAGCTTGGGTTACCGGTATTCCAATCCAGCAAAGCGATATCGAAAAGACGGCGAAAATGAGGAAGAACATAAGCTACCAACAAATCTTGTCATTCAATTTCGAAATCGACAAGGAGAAGAGTTGGCGGACAATCTGGACGTCCCTACGGGATCATCTGTTGACGATTTACAAGCTTTGATCCGCTCGCTTTTGGAGCAACAAGGCGATGGCGATAATGCAAAGATACCCTACTCGTTCTATGCCAAAGTGGAAAAGAACGGAGTCCTTGACGACGTTGAAATCACGCATCGGTTATCTGACTTTTTGAATGAAAACAAAGTTTCCACTGAAGATGTTTTGCAATTGACCTACCAGCCGTTGGCTGTCTTTCGAGTCCGACCGGTAACAAGGTGTACTGACACAATGCCGGGCCATACAGAAGCCATTCTTCACGTTTCATATAGTCCCGATGGAAAGCACCTTGCCAGTGGAGGAGGAGATACAACAGTTCGTTTCTGGGATGTGAATACAAGTCTGCCCAAACATACTTGCAAACAACACAAAAATCACGTATTGTGTACAGCTTGGTCGCCCGATGGAACCCGATTCGCAAGTTGTGACAAGAACGGAGTGTTGATTCTATGGGACCCAACCAATGGCAAGCCAATTTTCTCCAAAAAGGCACATCGCCAGTATATTAGCAGTCTTTCCTGGGAACCAATGCATCTAAACGGCGGCAAATGTGAGCGACTAGTCACAAGCTCAAAAGACTCGACGTGCAAAGTCTGGAACGTTCGCACCCAGCAATGTCTATTGACCTTGAGTGGCCACACAGACAGTGTCGAATGCGTTCGATGGGGCGGAGAAGGCTTTTTATATTCTGCGAGCCGAGACCGATCCATTAAAGTCTGGACCATGAAGGATGGGGACGTACCGGGAAAGTTGGTCCGCAGTCTGAAAGGACACAGTCATCGAGTCAACACATTGGCACTCTCTAGCGATTACATCTGCCGAACAGGACCTTTCGATCACCGCGGTACTCCTTTTGCCTCGCGAGAAGAAGGATTCCAAGCATCAGTAGAAAAGTACAAGAATTTTATTCAGCAGGGGCACGAGCGATTGGTTTCGGGAAGTGACGATTACACGCTATTCCTGTGGCATCCAACCCAAGAAAAGCACCCAATTAAGCGGCTCACTGGACATCAACAAGCAGTCAACCACATTGCCTTTAGTCCAGATGGTCGTTATTTTGCCTCTGCATCCTTTGACAAGAAGGTCAAGCTGTGGAATGGGTTTTCTGGAGACTTCTTGAACACATTGACTGGTCATGTCGGCCCTGTCTATCAAGTAGCATGGAGTTCTGATTCTCAATACCTAGTGAGTGCTAGCAAAGACAGTACCGCCAAACTGTGGGAAGTTCCAACTGGCAAACGAGCAAGAGCAACACTCCCAGGTCACGCCGACGAAGTATTTGCCCTTGATTGGAGCCCCAATGGCGCTAGTGTTGCCACGGGTTCTAAAGATCGAACAATCAAGATATGGAAGTGTTAAAAAGTACTAAACAGTCGGAGGGTAAAATATAAGCTGTAATATCTTGTTTTACCGAAGGACTTTTTTACTTTTGCTTCTGCAACTGCAATGCAAGTGTTCCTCGGTTGGTGCGTCTTTTTGTTATATGCAATTGATTTTCATTCCGTTCCTGTTAAACCCTCCGGCATATTGTAGTCCTCATCGGTTCTAAATATCAGGACTAAATAGTTGGTTTACTTTTCTATCACGCTTTTAACTCACGCATTAGTATACAGTAGATACAATGTTCACAGTAGATACAATGTTCGATGTCGCTTCATCGTGTTGTTGTGTTTGGAAAATGTGGTCGTGATTTGAGTTGGAGGCAAATTGCGGTTCGTCTTCCGTGTCGAAATGCTCCTTCATATTTATGGACCGTCTACTTGCAATATTACTTTTAATTAAATGGTGCGACACTAGGATGACTGACTCTGGTCTTTCCCCCAGCAAACTTTCCAACTTCTTCACCACGAACCCATTACAGTTTGGGGCAGCTTCTACAGCATGCCACCCCAAGCAAGAGAAAGAAACAAATAATAGAAGTAAGAGAAACAACAGGAAAACACAGACTGAGCGTCAATTGATCAAATAGGGACTTTTAATGTCCACATTTGGCGCCACAATGCCTGCAGCACCTCTAGATTCCATGAACGGCAAGAAACGAATTGCTGCTGTTCGACGAAAGTCGTCGGTGGTGTCAGAAGAAAACATCCAAGAGCGATTGGGACTTCGACGACAAGCTAGCACAGTTCGAAAATCCGTTATATTGGAATCACTGGGGAAATGGGAGACAGGGGGAGACCTTACTTTCAAACAATCACCGAAAATTGATTCAATATCGGAGACAACGAGGCCCAGATCCTTTGACGATGGACCGCTTGTCAAGGAAGAAATGGAAGGGGAAACTCTGGCAAAGGGTAATAGGGCTAAATCGGCGGATGCTCGCACGTCCTCTGTAGTCTCACCTATAGTACCCAAACAAAAGACATCCAAAAAGGCAGTTGGCTCGATGTCGCCACCTGTCGCACCCAAGCGATCGTCAGCACCAGCAAAAGAAACAGAAACAGCAGCGGTCTCACCCCTGGCCCCCAAACGAGTATCTGTGTCTCCTAAGAGTTCTTCTCCTGGTCTGCAAAAAATATCCTCGAAAAGGATCAGTCCAAAACGGAGTAGTCGCAAAATTAAGCGGGCTTCGAGTCGGTCCATCCTGAAAGACAAGGGCAGTCCGAGCAATGGAGACCATTTGTTAGAAGGCGATGATGACTCCAAAAAACCGCAAACTTCTGCTAGTAGTGGAAGTGGAACCGGTAACAGTATCGGCAATGGTGGAAGCAGCGTGGTCAGCGCTCCTTCGAAATTACCCCCCAACCGTGCCAAGCGACGGACCTCAAAGGGTCCCAAGTCAGCCAAAAGCATGGCCAATGGCCAAAAACCTCGTCGGAGCAAGTCTTCTGACTTGGAAGCCTGTTCCGAAGGCCAAACCAAAGCCAAAAAGAGTAAACGACGATCCAAATCAGCGGACAACGACGTGGATTTTGGACCGGATATCCTAGTGGATGAAGAAAAGTCGGAAAAATCGAAAAAGAAGGGCAGGACGAAACGACGATCCTCTAATAAGCGGACTTCGGCAATACAGTCCACTGATGTAGAGAATGATAAAGAAGGCAATCAGCAAAGTAATCCACAAGATAGGAGGGCATCCTTGGCGGGAACCAAAAAGCGGGCGCATAGTGCAGGTCCGCTGAAACGAAAAACTGGTGAGGCGAATGAAAAACCGGCACTGCCGGAAAGGGCGGCCAGTATGATGTTAAATAGGGACAACACAAGGCGAGGGAAGGCCAATTCCCTACATAATTTGGTCCAATACTCGGCGGAGGAAATTCACAGTACTTCCTATTTTGCTAGCAACCATGTCCTGGTAAATCGAGAACGAATGAAACGAGGATTGCGACCACTTACTCGGAATATTGCCATGGACTCCCTGGCAAGAGAGAGTGCAGAGTCTATGGCCGAGTCAGCGGGCAGTTCTCCATTGCGAACGACCTATGTGGGCAATGTACTTCGTGGCGAGTCCATTCGAGCAGTACATAGGGCTGTCATGCTAAACAAGCAAGGGCGGGAACGAGCTAATATGCTCAACCCATACTTTCAAGATTTTGGCGTCGGAACTGCCAAAGGAAAAGATGGGATGCTCTACGTTTGTCAGCTGTTCAGCGAACGGTTAGAATTGAGTTGCACAGATCTTGTAGTGGACGAAGAGAAATCAGATTAGAGACACAACCTAATATAGTCTTTACGTGTTTTGGCGCCATGAAGCATAGTATGTAGGAGAACATACTGAAAATACGAATAGAACTGAAAGCTTGTCTGATCCGATTGAAACTTAGATGCGCTGCTCGAGTCCTTCGAAGGCGGTGGCACTACTGAATCGAATTTAATAGATGAGTAGGGCGAGCTGAACCTATGTCTCTCTTCGCAGTGCGAGGCTAGATTTGCCAAAATCAGTGCAAAGTAGAAACAATCAATCATACGCTATCAGTAGTGTAAACAAATTTACTCATTTTTAAAATGTATATCGCTGTGCCTATTTTTTCTGGCAATTTTTAGACAGCTGGATTTGCAAAACCGCCAAAGCAAGGTCCGCAATGATCCTTTGGATAATATGCTAGAATGTCCGTATCATCCTCAGGGACACAGAATGTCTGGTATCCATCACGTGCTGAATAATGACAAACATGGACATTTTCACTATTTGCGCCACATGGATGTTCTTCCTTGGAACAGTAGTGACCGCCCTTGGCTGTGATTTGCAATGGACTAGACATCTGGCCTCGATGCGAAGACTTGTAGAAACCTTCGATAGCTCCCGCACGATCCTCATCAGACAAGAGTCGGACTTCTGGGACATCTGCACACTGTGTTTCACAGTGAATCAAGAAAGAGTATTGGACAACTGGTACATCGGACTCATCAGGATGACAGCATCTGGGAACAGTCCCAGAATTAGAGCTGTCCAAATGCGAATCAGATATCCAGAGATCAACGATTGTTACAGGTGTTCGAGACATGCAGAATGCCGTGTAGGTTGTGTTTGACCCACAAGCACTGACACTTTTCTGATTTTCACAGGTAGTGTCGCCCACAGCTGTGAAATGATACTGGATGAACATGTCGTCGAGCTCAACGCCGAGGAAATTTTCAATCGTGAATGTAACAGTTGAAGTGTTTTGCTCTAATACTCGAATTGGAGCTTCCTCGTATTCCGTCACACCAATCGATTCGACAAGCTCCACATCCTCTGGACATTCAGCAGGCGGAGTTTCTTCACAGTGAACACATTCTGGCAAACAGGAGACACTGAATGTGTATTCTACAAAGTTTGTGAAATTGTCTGGCCTCTGACAATTTTCACACTCAGTCAAGTCATCAACATCACAGAGATACATGTAAATTGTGATTTGTGCCTCATCCTCGAAACAGTATGCCGTGTAGGTTTCAGTCCAACCATATTCGACTTCACTCTCGGACTCGCACTCTTGACTAGTGGAATTGTATCGATGCAATACAGACAACTTCGCAATCGTGTCATCGTAGAACAGTTGGTTGATTCTAAATGTCACATTGTCACCATCGGGACTACGCTCAAGAACTTCAACGGGAAAATCACTTTCCGAAATGTCAAGGACGGTGCCACTACAAGTCACAGAGCCAAGTCCAGCTTGTCCACTAATCTGAACTAGAGTCTCGTCGACACAATCCGGACTGTCGGGAGTGGGACTTGATGTTGGTCCAGATGTTGGTCCTGCAGTTGGCTCAGATATCTCTGTACGGCAAGGATCAGAGTTACATGGAACCTCAAATAAATACTTTGCAACATTGGAGTCATCGACAGTAGAATCTGAACAGAACTCTGGGATAGAGTTCGAACCTGCAGAGAATGCAACATCGGTGCTTGACACGAACAAGGTCAACATGGCGTATTCTTGCCCAAGTGCACACTGTATCTGGGCCTCAAATGTAGTGCCATAGCAGATGTTATTTTCAATTGAGCATGTCGTTTGTGATTCATCAACGAATGCAATCCAATCAATTTGCCCGTTTGCACAATCTCCGGATCCCAAGGAATTAAAAGTCTGATTGAAACCAATAGTGACAATGCCGGTATCAATATCCCGTTCAATGATTTCAGGTCCAGCATCAAGTGGCCAATCAATCAATGGCTCTTCGTGTTGCAGTTCAATTTCCTTACAAACAGTAGGGGCAGGACTAGACGTAGGTGCTGATGTTGGTCCGGATGTTGGAACACCATAATCGCTGCCACATTCACAAGAGAATTCAATCTTGTACCTGCAGATGTCGCTTTCTGGGTCCCATCCCGTGCAGACATCGCTATCCTCTGGCGTTGTTGTGATGGGCAGATAGACCTCGATCGAAGAGGATTCACCTTTACACTTCGAAGTGTAATCAATAGTTGATTCTCCCTGATTGAAAGCCACTTGTCCTGAACTCTGCAAAGTGCCATCCGATCCGACATAGACGATTTGAATCCAAGGAAAGCTTGTTGCCATCCAATTGTCAATACTCCACGACAATAGTCCTTCTCCAAGGTTCTCTATCTCCACCGCTGAGGGATCAAATGCATGACCTGCGCAGTCTTTGCGAACAGTAATCATTTCGCCCAAGCAATCGGTGGGTCCCGAGGTTGGAGTACCAGTTGGGCCAGAAGTAGGACCAGACGTTGGTTCGCTATGCGATTCGCCACCGCGTGTAGGGCCAGATGTAGGCCCGCTAGTTGGCGTCGTGGGTTCACTAGTTGGTCCAGATGTCGGCCGGCTGGTAGGTATGGATGTGGGACCAGATGTAGGTCCGCTTGTAGGCCCAGAAGTTGGTGCAAATGTTGGACTACTTGTCGGTCCAGAGGTTGGACCAGACGTAGGTCCACTTGTAGGCCCGGATGTAGGTTCAGATGTTGGTCCGCTGGTTGGATAAGAAGTAGGTCCGCTTGTTGGTGACGATGTAGGTTCCTTTGTTGGACCGATGGTAGGTTCTGATGTCGGTCCAGAACTTGGCCCGCTGGTTGGTACGCCTGTAGGTACACTAGTCGGCCCGCTAGTTGGGACTGACGTTGGAACCGAAGTGGGTCCAGAAGTCGGTCCACTGGTTGGCAGACTAGTTGGCCCACTGGTGGGACTGCTGGTAGGTGCGGATGTCGGTGCACCGGTAGGGCCACTAGTTGGGCCGCTGGTTGGTCCAGAAGTTGGTCCAGAAGTTGGTGCAGATGTTGGTACAGACGTCGGAGCAGATGTTGGGCCAGAAGTTGGCCCGTCGGTTGGGCTGGATGTAGGCCCAGATGTAGGACCAGAAGTTGGTGCCGATGTAGGTTCTCCCGTTGGACCCATGGTTGGTGTTGAAGTTGGTCCTGATGTTGGACCCATGGTGGGTGTTGAAGTTGGTCCTGATGTTGGACCAGATGTGGGTGTTGAAGTTGGTCCTGATGTTGGACCAGTTGTGGGCACGGATGTTGGTCCATTAGTTGGTCCACTAGTTGGTGCTGAAGTGGGTACACTGGTTGGTACACTTGTAGGTCCACTGGTTGGCCCGCTAGTTGGGACTGACGTTGGACCCGAAGTGGGTCCAGAAGTCGGTCCACTGGTTGGAATACTCGTTGGCCCACTGGTGGGACTGCTGGTGGGTGCGGATGTAGGTGCACCGGTAGGGCCACTAGTTGGGCCGCTGGTTGGGGCGCCGGTTGGGCCGCTAGTTGGTCCAGAAGTTGGTGCTGATGTTGGAGTTGATGTCGGGCCACTTGTCGGTCCACTGGTTGGGCTGGTTGTAGGTCCGGATGTAGGACCAGAAGTTGGTGACAGTGTAGGTTCTCCTGTAGGACCCATGGTGGGTGTTGAAGTTGGTCCTGATGTTGGATCAGATGTGGGCACGGATGTTGGTCCTGATGTTGGACCAGATGTGGGCACGGATGTTGGTCCACTAGTTGGTCCACTAGTTGGTGCTGAAGTGGGTACACTGGTTGGTCCAGATGTAGGTTCATTGGTGGGAACAGATGTAGGTCCACTTGTTGGTCCACTTGTTGGGCCTGAAGTTGGTCCCGAAGTGGGTCTAGATGTAGGTCCACTTGTTGGACCAGATGTGGGGCCTGAAGTGGGACCAGATGTGGGGCCACTAGTGGGACCATTGGTTGGTCCACTAGTAGGTACAGATGTGGGCCCGGATGTAGGTCCCGATGTCGGTGGTGCAGTTGGCCCAGACGTCGGTCCACTGGTTGGTCCAGCAGTGGGCAAAGAAGTAGGCCCACCAGTTGGTCCGTCCGTTGGGGCAGATGTGGGAACGGATGTAGGTCCGCTCGTTGGTTCGCCAGTTGGTCCAGATGTAGGGCCGCTGGTTGGTACGCCGGTTGGTCTAGAAGTTGGCCCACTTGTTGGTACGCTTGTTGGTACGCTAGTTGGTCCAGATGTAGGTCCACTGGTTGGTCCAGATGTAGGTCCACTGGTTGGTCCAAATGTAGGTCCACTGGTTGGTCCAGATGTAGGTCCACTGGTTGGTCCAGATGTAGGTCCACTGGTTGGTCCAGATGTAGGTCCACTCGTAGGGCCACTAGTTGGTCCGCTTGTTGGTCCAAAAGTTGGTCCGCTTGTTGGTCCAGAAGAAGGTCCACTGGTTGGACCAGAGGTGGGTAAAGAAGTTGGTCCCGAGGTGGGACGTACCGTGGGAACAGAAGTAGGTCCACTAGATGGTCCTGATGTTGGGCTTGAAGTGGGTTCTGAAGTCGGGTCTGAGGTAGGTCCCGATGTTGGAACGGAGGAAGGTCCGCTTGTAGGACCGGATGTGGGTCCACTTGTGGGCTCACTTGTAGGTCCTGAAGTTGGACTAGATGTAGGACCAGTTGTGGGTCCTGACGTTGGACCAGAAGTTGGTACGGAAGTTGGACCACTAGTCGGTCCAGCAGTTGGGCCACTTGTTGGTGCCGATGTAGGTGCCGATGTTGGCCCACTTGTTGGCCCACTTGTTGGGCTCGCTGTTGGCCCGTTTGTGGGCCCGCTGGTTGGTCCAGAAGTAGGTCCAGAAGTAGGTGCTGTTGGTCCACTACTTGGACCAGAAGTGGGCCCGCTGGTTGGTCCAGATGTAGGTCCACTGGATGGCCCAGCTGTTGGCCCAGCTGTTGGACCGCTTGTTGGCCCAGATGTTGGACTGGCAGTGGGACCTGAAGTAGGTCCGCTGGTTGGTTTAGATGTTGGAACACTGGTTGGTCCACTGGTAGGACCAACACTCGGTTCTGATGTAGGACCAGACGTTGGTCCAGCAGTTGGGTCACTGCTTGGACCAGATGTTGGACCGCTAGTTGGTTTTGAAGTTGGTGCAGAAGTAGGCCCACGGGTAGGACCACTTGTCGGGCTTGACGTAGGTCCGGATGTTGGTCCACTCGTGGGACCACTGGTAGGTCCACTCGTGGGTACAGAAGTTGGTACCGACGTGGGGCCTGACGTTGGACCCGAAGTAGGTCCACTAGTTGGTTCTGATGTTGGTCCCGAAGTGGGTCCTGAAGTTGGCCCCTCGGTAGGCACACTCGTTGGGCTAGAAGTTGGACCAGAAGTAGGCCCGCTGGTTGGAACTGATGTTGGTCCAGAAGTGGGTCCTGAAGTTGGTCCATCCGTAGGCACGCTGGTTGGGCTAGAAGTAGGCCCAGAAGTGGGTCCACTGGTAGGTTCCGACGTGGGTCCAGAGGTAGGTAGAGAGGTTGGTCCACCAGTTGGTCCATCTGTGGGTTCTGATGTGGGGCCAGAAGTGGGTCCTGAAGTAGGTCCATCGGTAGGCACACTGGTTGGACTAGAAGTAGGTCCAGAGGTAGGTCTAGAAGTTGGACCAGAAGTAGGTCCAGTCGTTGGTTCTGACGTGGGGCCAGAAGATGGTCCTGATGTGGGTCCATCCGTAGGCATGCTTGTTGGACTAGAAGTTGGTCCAGAGGTTGGTCCACTGGTGGGAACTGATGTTGGGCCAGACGTGGGTCCTGTAGTGGGTCCATCCGTAGGTACACTGGTTGGGCTGGAAGTAGGACCAGAAGTAGGCCCGCTGGTTGGACCACTTGTTGGGCCAGAAGTGGGTCCTAAAGTAGGCACGCTAGTTGGACTAGAAGTTGGTCCAGAAGTTGGTCCACTGGTGGGAACTGATGTTGGGCCCGAAGTGGGCCCATCTGTAGGCACACTGGTTGGGTTAGAAGTAGGACCTGAAGTAGGTCCGCTGGTCGGTCCAGATGTTGGTTCGCTGGTCGGTCCGCTGGTCGGTTCTGACGTTGGTTGGCTGGTCGGTCCACTGGTTGGTCCAGACGTTGGTTCGCTGGTCGGACCACTTGTTGGGCTAGATGTGGGTCCGTTGGTTGGACCACTGGTCGGGCCCGAAGTTGGTCCTGACGTTGGCCCATTAGTTGGCACTGAAGTGGGTCCACTCGTGGGCCCTGAAGTTGGTCTTGATGTTGGTGCACTTGTGGGACCAGCAGTAGGACCGGCAGTAGGACTAGAAGTGGGCCCACTGGTTGGACCTAATGTGGGCAAACTTGTTGGTCCAGCAGTAGGGCCAGATGTAGGCCCACTGGTTGGTCCAAAAGTAGGTATAGACGTTGGTCCACTGGTTGGTCCGGAAGTTGGTCCACTTGTTGGTCCGGAAGTTGGTCCACTTGTTGGACCAGAAGTTGGGACGGATGTTGGACTACTTGTTGGACCCGAAGTCGGTCCGCTGGTTGGTCCAGAGGTAGGTACATTGGTTGGTCCAGAAGTAGGGCCTATAGTTGGTCCACTAGTGGGTCCAGTTGTTGGTCGACTTGAAGGTCCAGATGTGGGTCCGCTGGTTGGTCCAGAAGTTGGGCCAGATGTTGGACCACTTGTCGGGCGAGAAGTGGGTCCTGAAGTAGGCACACTGGTTGGGCTAGACGTAGGCCCAGAAGAAGGCTCAGAGGTTGGACCAGAAGTAGGCCCGCTGGTTGGAACTGATGTTGGTCCAGAAGTGGGTCCTGAAGTTGGTCCATCTGTAGGCACGCTGGTTGGGCTAGAAGTAGGCCCAGAAGTGGGTCCACTGGTAGGTTCCGACGTGGGTCCAGAAGTAGGCAGAGAGGTTGGTCCACCAGTTGGTCCATCTGTGGGTTCTGATGTGGGGCCAGAAGTGGGTCCTGAAGTAGGTCCATCGGTAGGTCCATCGGTAGGTCCAGAAGTTGGACCCGAAGTAGGCCCATCAGTTGGTTGTGATGTGGGGCCAGAAGTGGGTTGTGACGTGGGCCCATCTGTGGGCACGCTTGTTGGACTAGAAGTTGGTCCAGAGGTTGGTCCAGAGGTTGGTCCAGAGGTTGGTCCAGAGGTTGGTCCAGAAGTTGGTCCACTGGTGGGAACTGATGTTGGGCCAGACGTGGGTCCTGTAGTGGGTCCATCCGTAGGCACACTGGTTGGGCTAGAAGTAGGGCCAGAAGTGGGTCCTGAAGTAGGTCCAACCGTAGGCACGCTAGTTGGACTAGAAGTAGGTCCAGATGTCGGACCAGCAGTAGGTCCGCTTGATGGACCAGATGTAGGTCCAGATGTAGGTCCAGATGTAGGTCCAGATGTAGGTCCAGATGTAGGTCCAGATGTAGGTCCTGATGTTGGTCCTGATGAAGGTCCCGATGTTGGTCCTACAGTAGGCCCTACCGTAGGTGCACTTGTGGGGCTTGAAGTGGGACCAGCCGATGGTCCAGCCGTTGGTGTACTCGTTGGTCCAGTGGTAGGTCCAGAAGTTGGTCCAGATGTCGGTCCAGTCGTTGGTCCAGAGGTTGGTCCCGTAGTTGGGCCAGAAGTGGGTCCAGATGTTGGTGCGCTTGTTGGACCGCTGGTTGGACTTGAAGTTGGTCCCACTGTAGGTCCACTGGTAGGTCCACTGGTGGGTCCATCTGTTGGTCCCGATGTAGGGCCTGAAGAAGGTCCAGAAGTCGGCCTAGATGTTGGTCCAGATGTTGGTCCAACAGTAGGTCCAGCTGTAGGGCTCGATGTAGGACCAGAAGTTGGCCCCAATGTAGGTCCGGTTGTTGGTCCAGATGTCGGCTCGCTGGTCGGTCCAGACGTAGGTCCTGCGGTGGGACCAGATGTTGGTCCACTGGTAGGTCCAGAAGATGGACCAGAGGTAGGTCCACTGGTAGGCCCAGATGTTGGGCCAACGGTGGGTCCAGATGTAGGTCCGCTAGTTGGACCGGATGTGGGGCCTGAGCTGGGACCAGAAGTAGGACCACTTGTTGGACCAGAAGTAGGGCCAGAGGTTGGAACAGAAGTTGGACCAGAAGTAGGGCCAGATGTAGGAACAGAAGTTGGACCAGAAGTAGGGCTAGATGTTGGACCAGAAGTAGGGCCAGAGGTAGGTCCACTTGTTGGTCCAGAGGTGGGCACAGAAGTTGGTCCACCTGTGGGCCCAGATGTTGGCGTGGAGGTTGGTCCAGAGGTAGGCCCGCTTGTTGGTGTAGAAGTTGGTCCAGAAGTTGGACTACTTGTAGGTCCTGAAGTCGGACTACTGGTGGGTCCAGATGTTGGTCCTGATGTGGGGTCACTGGTTGGGCCACTGGTTGGACCATATGTAGGTCCGCTGGTCGGACCACTACTTGGGCCGCTTGTTGGTCCAGATGTAGGTCCGCTGGTCGGACCACTGGTTGGGCCCCTTGTGGGTCCAGATGTAGGTCCACTGCTCGGACCACTGGTTGGGTTAGAAGTAGGTCCGCTGGTGGGGCCAGAAGTAGGTCCAACGGTTGGGCTAGAAGTAGGTCCACTTGTTGGCCCAGAAGTTGGTCCAGATGTAGGTCCACTGCTCGGGCCAGAAGTTGGTCCAGACGTAGGTCCTGAAGTAGGGCCACTAGTTGGTCCACTAGTAGGTCCACTAGTTGGTCCAGAAGTTGGTCCACTAGTAGGACCGCTGGTAGGGCCATTGGTCGGTCCAGAAGTTGGGCCACTAGTTGGTCCACTAGTCGGACCAGAAGTTGGGCCACTAGTTGGGCCCGTGGTAGGTCGACTTGTGGGCCCTGATGTAGGCCCAGAAGTAGGTCCAGATGTTGGCCCTGACGTCGGACCAGAGGTTGGACCGCTGGTTGGCCCGGAGGTTGGTCCAGAAGTAGGTCCAGAGGTTGGTCCAGAGGTTGGTCCAGAGGTTGGTCCAGAAGTAGGTCCACTTGTGGGCCCTGATGTAGGTCCAGAAGTTGGGCCCGAAGTAGGTCCAGAAGTTGGTCCAGATGTGGGTCCGCTGGTTGGACCACTGGTGGGTCGGCTTGTGGGACCTGATGTGGGCCCGCTTGTTGGTCCAGAGGTAGGGCTCGAGGTTGGTCCAGATGTTGGACCAGAGGTAGGTCCGCGGGTTGGTCCAGAAGTTGGACCGCTAGTTGGAACAGAAGTAGGTCCACTGGTAGGCCCAGATGTTGGGCCAGAGGTGGGTCCAGATGTAGGTCCGCTAGTTGGACCTGAAGTTGGTCCCGAAGTTGGTCCCGAAGTTGGTCCAGAAGTGGGTCCAGATGTAGGTCCGCTAGTTGGACCGGATGTGGGGCCTGAGCTGGGACCAGAAGTAGGGCCAGATGTTGGACCAGAAGTTGGACCAAAAGTTGGTCCAGACGTAGGGCCAGAAGTAGGGCCAGAGGTTGGAACAGAAGTTGGACCAGAGGTAGGTCCACTTGTAGGTCCAGAGGTGGGCACTGAAGTTGGTCCACCTGTGGGCCCAGATGTTGGTGTGGAGGTTGGTCCAGAGGTAGGCCCAGATGTTGGTGTGGACGTTGGTACTGAAGTTGGACCACTTGTTGGTCCAGATGTTGGTTCTGAAGTTGGTCCAGAAGTAGGCCCAGAAGTAGGTCCAGAGGTTGGTCTCGACGTGGGTCCAAAGGTTGGCCCGGCGGTTGGACCAGATGTGGGTCCTGAAGTAGGTCCAGAAGTTGGCCCTGATGTTGGTCCAGATGTTGGTCCTGAAGTGGGTCCAGAAGTAGGTCCGAAGGTTGGTCCCGACGTGGGTCGTGAAGAAGGTCCACTCGTAGGTCCAGAAGTTGGCCCTGATGTAGGTCCAGAAGTTGGTTTACTAGTTGGACCAGATGTTGGACTACTTGTAGGTCCACTAGTTGGGCCAGATGTAGGTCCACTTGTGGGACCACTAGTTGGTCCCGAGGTTGGCCCACTAGTCGGGCCAGAGGTAGGTCCACTGGTAGGACCACTGGTTGGTCCACTTGTCGGGCCGGAGGTGGGACTACTTGTTGGTCCGGAAGTAGGTCCAGAGGTAGGCCCACTGGTTGGGCCTGAAGTCGGTCCGCTTGTTGGCCCAGATGTAGGTCCGCTGGTTGGGCCAGAGGTGGGTCCTGATGTAGGTCCGCTGGTTGGGCCAGAGGTGGGTCCTGATGTAGGTCCGCTGGTTGGCCCAGAGGTGGGTCCTGATGTAGGTCCGCTGGTTGGCCCAGAGGTGGGTCCTGAAGTCGGACCACTTGTAGGGCCGCTAGTTGGGCCAGAAGTTGGGCCACTAGTTGGACCGGAGGTAGGTCCACTTGTGGGTCCTGATGTTGGTCCAGATGTAGGACCAGATGTTGGCGCAGAAGTTGGGCCGCTCGTTGGACCAGAAGTAGGTCCAGACGTTGGACCACTGGTTGGTCCTAAGGTCGGTCCTGATGTAGGACCAGATGTCGGTCCAGAAGTTGGACCTGATGTTGGGCCAGACGTAGGTCCAGAAGTTGGTCTTGATGTGGGTCCGCTGGTTGGGCCACTGGTTGGACCAGATGTTGGCCCGCTGGTTGGTCTAGATGTGGGACCAGAGGTAGGTCCGCTTGTTGGTCCAGAAGTAGGTCCAGATGTTGGACCAGAAGTAGGTCCACTGGTTGGGTCTGATGTTGGTCCACTGGTTGGCTCAGAAGTGGGTCCAGATGTAGGTCCGCTAGTTGGACCGGATGTGGGGACTGAGGTGGGACCAGAAGTAGGACCACTTGTAGGTCCGGAACTTGGACTAGAAGTAGGTCTTGAGGTTGGAACAGACGTAGGGCCAGAGGTAGGTCCACTTGTTGGTCCAGAGGTGGGCAACGAAGTTGGTCCACCTGTGGGTCCAGATGTTGGTGTGGAGGTTGGTCCAGAGGTAGGCCCGGATGTTGGTGTAGAAGTTGGTCCAGAAGTCGGACTACTGGTAGGTCCAGATGTTGGTTCTGACGTTGGTCCCGAAGTGGGTCCACTAGTTGGGCCACTGGTTGGGCCACTAGTTGGACGAGATGAAGGTCCGCTGGTAGGGCCGCTTGTGGGTCTAGATGTGGGTCCGCTGGTCGGCCCACTCGTTGGACCGCTTGTTGGAGCACTAGTTGGTGCAGATGTAGGTCCGCTGCTCGGACCACTGGTTGGACCGCTAGTGGGTCCAGATGTGGGTCCACTGGTTGGGTTAGAGGTAGGTCCGTTGGTTGGGCCAGACGTAGGTCCACTGGTTGGGCTGGAAGTGGGTCCAGTTGTTGGCCCAGAAGTTGGTCCGCTGGTTGGTCCAAAAGTTGGGCGGGAAGTAGGTCCAGAAGTTGGCCCAGAAGTTGGTCCACTTGTAGGCCCAGATGTTGGGCCAGAGGTGGGTCCAGATGTAGGTCCAATGGTAGGACCAGACGTGGGTCCTGAGGTAGGGCCACTAGTTGGTCCAGAGGTGGGTCCTGATGTGGGTCCACTAGTTGGTCCTGAAGTAGGGCCGCTGGTAGGGCCACTGGTCGGTACAGAAGTTGGTCCTGAAGTAGGGCCTGAAGTTGGGCCACTAGTTGGCCCACTAGTCGGTTCAGAAGTTGGGCCACTAGTTGGTCCACTAGTTGGTCCACTAGTTGGTCCACTAGTTGGGCCAGAGGAAGGTCCACTTGTGGGCCCTGATGTAGGTCCAGATGTTGGCCCTGACGTAGGACCAGAAGTTGGTCCGCTTGTCGGACCAGAAGTAGGACCAGAGGTTGGACCGCTGGTTGGTCCAGAAGTTGGTCCAGAGGTAGGTCCTGAAGTAGGACCAGATGTGGGTCCAGAAGTTGGACCTGATGTTGGTCCAGAAGTTGGGCCCGAGGTAGGTCCAGAAGTTGGTCCAGATGTGGGTCCGCTGGTTGGTCCACTTGTGGGTCCGCTTGTTGGACCAGATGTGGGCCCGCTTGTTGGGCCAGAGGTAGGGCTCGACGTTGGTCCAGATGTTGGACCAGAGGTAGGTCCAGAAGTTGGTCCAGAAGTTGGGCCGGAAGTAGGTCCAGAAGTTGGACCAGAGGTAGGTCCACTGGTAGGCCCAGATGTTGGGCCAGAGGTGGGTCCAGATGTAGGTCCGCTGGTGGGGCCTGAAGTTGGTCCAGAAGTTGGTCCAGAAGTGGGTCCAGATGTAGGTCCGCTAGTTGGACCAGATGTGGGGCCTGAGGTGGGACCAGAAGTAGGACCACTTGTGGGTCCGGAAGTTGGACCAGAAGTAGGGCCAGATGTTGGACCAGATGTTGGACCAGAAGTAGGGCCAGATGTTGGAACAGAAGTAGGGCCAGAGGTAGGTCCACTTGTAGGTCCAGAGGTTGGCACGGAAGTTGGTCCACCTGTGGGCCCAGATGTTGGTGTGGAGGTTGGTCCAGAGGTAGGCCCAGATGTTGGTGTAGATGTTGGTCCAGAAGTTGGACTACTTGTAGGTCCAGATGTAGGTCCAGATGTAGGTCCAGAGGTTGGTCCTGAAG